TTCACATGCATTATTAATATAAATACATTCTCCAGGGCGAGACGATGAGGCAACTACAAGCACTTCCACTGGATCAAGAGGTCCACGGGGGAAAAATGCACAATATTACCGTGATTACAGAGCACGGAAGCGAGCGGAGCAGGAAAAAGAGTCGTTGAATAGAACTAGTGATCCTTCTACGACAGCTGATTGATTCTTCTACAACTCGCAGGTTGCGAAGTTTAACTTCTTCCGCGCCGAGGGACTTCACGCACTATTTTTTTTATTTAAATTATTTTATTAACTGATTTTCATTTAAAAATAAGAGTAATAAATCAGAATAAATATAAAGTTTTGGTCGAATTACGTAATTTTACGTAATTCTTCACCACTAATTAATTAACATGTTTAAGGTTAAGTCCACGAACCATTAGAATTGAGTACTGTTGCCTAAAAATTTGATTATTATATCAAAAGTTCAATAGTTAGATTTTTCACGCACTCTACATTGAAGAATGTTTCAGTAGTCCAAATAAGTCAACCATCCCCTGTAACTTGCATTTAAGTGTCAGTAATTCTAAACTGATCTAGAACAAAGAATCATCCATATTTAACAAGTCTTTTGTAAATTAAATCGTTCTCTTTCGCCTTGCATAGAGATAATGCAATTTTTGTGTTTTATGATTCTCATAATTTATTTTTCTGTCTCTCACTGTTTTTTTCCTCGCACCTATGAATATCTTACTTTGGAACAGCCGAAACATTTATAATGATTTAGTCAAATAAATTGAAAGAGCAATGGTAGTGGATAGAATGATTGTTGTAGGCACAAACGAAATAATGGTGTGAAAACTTAGGTGTTAAAAAAAATGATATCTACTTCTACTTCACTGAATCAAGTTACGGTTATGATGATTATTCTGTTGCTAAGCCTATTATTTAGAGTCATATTTTAACTCGCTGAAAGCTGAAGCTCACGTTATTATGAAAATCGCTGGAAATTCAATTATTTTCTTCTATCAAATCAATAAATTTAAAGACTTATCAATAAATTAAACTAGTTGGTAAAATGATTGTTATTGTGTCACGAAATTACACAAACGAAGTAATAGTGTGAAGAAATATATGAAGAATTTCGTCTGTAATGATAGAACATATAAAAATAAAGACGCCTTCTTGTTATCGATGCACGTCAAAATGACAACAGCCTGCCCCTAACGGTTTTAGCACCACTCTACTGCAAAAAACTGAACTATCAGTTGTTGTTGTTGTTAATTTACGTCGCTCTAGAGCTGCACAATGGGCTATTGGCGACGGTCTGGGTAACATCCCGGAGGATGATCCGAAGACATGCCATCACAATTTTGATCCTCTGCGGAGGGGATGGCACCCCCACTTCGGTAGCCCGACTACCTGCTCGCGAAGTCGAGCACTTTACGGTAGCACAGTTTAACGAGGACCAATACCGCACACCCTCGGTCCCTACGCAGACTGATCCAAGTGGTCACCCACCCGCACACTGACCGCAGCCAGTGATGCTTGACTTCGGTGATCTGCTGGGAACCGTGTCTTAACGATCAGTCCACTGCGGGACGAACTATCAGTTAGATAGATGAGTTTCTAGTATTATTTTTTATAATTTCTTTTGTCATTTGTTTTATTTTAGTTCCATAAAAGGCTTCGATGTTGTTTAGTTAACTATGTTATTTGTAAATAAGGACAAAAATACATTTTGCGAAGTAAATCCTTTATGATTATCATGATTCATTTAAAAATTTTCATTTCTCACTATTTTTCATGTTATATTTCTATCAATGTTGAATAATAAGATATATATGTATGTATATACAAGAGCTGGACAAAATAACGGAAACACTTCTATACTAACATATTTTTTTTATCTTTCTCAAATATTTAGAAAATCATTTTATAAATTTAGAAGTGTTAAGATTATGCGATTTCTCATACTAATGATTGAAGTTTAAAGTTTTATTAAGTTCGAAGAACCGGCAATAAATGATAAACGGAAAATATTGTTTGTAAACACCCTATTCCAAAAAGTGGAGCAATAAATTTACAACTTGTAAATGTTATTTTTATTTATTACACAAAATTTCTTAAACCTAGCTTAAATATTTATGGATATATATGTACATTTTTTAAAAACTAAGGTATTTTAGTTAACGATTTCTTGTTATAAGTTTAAAAATATTCAATAAATGAAATAGAATTTTGGGACAATTTAATATTAATTTAACAATTATTGCTTTAAAGTCAGAAAAATTTGTTAAAACTGCGCAAGATATGAGTCATTAAAGTAGTTTTTTATACTGCACATGCGCCTATAAAAATAATATTTTTATTTCATAATTTTGTAGTGAATCGTATTTCGCAACTAATAAAAAGGCCAATTTGAATATTTTAAAAACTACAAAAGTTTCAAACAATTTCTTAAGTAGTTTTCGTAGTTTAAATTTTATTTAAAGTGGTAACGAAACTCATGTTATTTCATTAAAGTGTCTGAATTATAAATAATTATAAATGAGTTTGACCACCAGAACATATAAATAATTACAACAAATACATAAAAGCAACACATACCCGGCACGAGTGGTAATTACCAGGACGGCCGGGTCTCTACTTTAACAGAGCCACACTTACTTGCACATATACACATATACACACATCCACACATTGCTTTAACTCGCTCCCCTTTTGTATGTATTTCCAAACTAAATACTGTAAATATTCATTAGTGTTTATTTTCCCATTGTACTTTAATTTTACCTTTTTTCATGTAAATTTTTATTACTTGTAATTTTTTTATTGCCTAATAATGGCAAAGTGCCATTTTTCTTCTCTCAAGAGCTCCATTTGCACCCCAAACTTTAATTTTGTCATGTATGTTTCTTAGTTTAATTTCAGGATGAATGGGAAAAGGGCCGTAATGGCCTCAGGCGCCCATTTCCACTACAACGAACGAACGAACGATAAAAGCAACACAGTTTTTATGATAGAAAATTTCAATCTGGTCCAAATATAAATTTTTGAGTAAAATTGTTTTCAGAAGTTGTTTTACTACCATTTGGAAAATCCATTTTCAGGAAGAGCTAAAGTTGGCAGGTATGAAATTGTATTAAGCTAAATTTTATTTCGATTTTAAACACGCGTTTTTCTAAGTTTATTAACGTAAATTACGCAAGGAAGGAAAAAAATTAATAATAAAAAATGCAGTTATTTTTAATTTTTAAATGCCTTGATGATTGCCTTCTAGTTAAATGCATGATTGCTTTGTTTTAATTGATAGCGATTCAGTCACAATTTACGATTTTTACCTCATACGTAGAATAACTAATGCGTACTACTAATAGTATAATAATAAATACATATAATAAACAGTGTCATAGCATATAAAATGATTTGAATAAAATACCCACCTCATAAAATACACCTACTACAGCAGATCTACCCCTTCTATTTGTATGGACAAAATGTATCTGTTAGAAATAAAAACTATTTTCAATAAATATGTATTATACTTTAACAATTTTTAGAAGATATTCAATATTTTAAGCACACATTTAATCTCTTCTCTTCTTTTTTCGGTTTATTAAAAAATGATAAACATAAATTTGACTCTAGAATTCGGCATATTCGGCATAAGACCACCAGCAGCTAGTGAAAGTGTTTTATTGGAAGTCGTAGTTTAAGAAATCTATTTCAGAAAAACGCAAAACTGAGTAGAAGAATAGTTTTGCTATTATATTCTCTGCATTATCGCAACATTTGCAGATACTGCCTTTTAATTTGAAGGAAAAAAAGATAGAAAATTTCTGCGAACCCGTTTTAAAGCATTTTTAATTTCGTTTTTAGTAAAACTTAAAAAGCTAAATTTATACAACACAAAGAACAAAAAATAAAGAACATCTGTTACTTCATTACTTGCTTAACTTTATGAGGACTTATTTCGCGACTATTGTTTTCTCGATCATTACATAAATTGCAATTTATATTTAAACAACATTAATTTTTGAAGTAAACTTTTTTAGGATCATATTTGTAATTTTTTTTACATTTATAGTTGATTAAGTTGAAAGTTAGTCATAATAATCACTGTCTAACTGTGTTCCGGTAAAGCTCCGATATCGGAAAGCCTCCACATGGTTCCTTATAGATAGTCCGATCAGATCACTATGAAGGTAAACCAGTTTGCGAAAGAGCCATTTAATACAAAATCTAACAAAAAAATAAGAATGTGAAAAAAATTACAAGTCTAAAATTTTTTTTAATTTATGAATATGTTTGTTTTATATACTTGTCAACCACCACAGATTCGATTCTCAAATATATTTAAAATAGAATCTGATGCGCATAACTGGTTTACTTTTTAAATAGTCTGCGCAGACTACTAATAAAAAACCCTGTAGAGGCTTTCTGATGTAGGCGGTGATGGTTCAGTTGGCGAAAAATTTTGGAATTATTTCCAACTTACAAAATTTGGAATTAGGAAAGATAATGCTGTAGATTCACTCATTAAATTCTTCTACTGATTGAGGGGAAGCAGTATTTTATTTAACTGGAAAACAGCATAAAACTGCATCTTCTTTTTCACTCTTTTTGGGCTTTTAATCAATGCATATCTACATTATTTGTTTATGTATTAATATTCTTCAACTTAATATCCCATTGACGTAAGAATTTAGTATTTTTCGCGTGTCTTATAACTTACATTTTCAGCGTTTTCTAGTTCACTTTGTGCGATACACTAAGCCAGCTCATTCATTTCACTTTTTTTAATTTATTACAAATATGTCCAACAATTACCTCCATTGAAAACTGCTTATAATTGACTTTGTGTTCTGAACCTTTGTCTTTTCTATCTCCCCAGTGGAAATGAATATCGTTCAAAGTATATACGTCTCCATTGACCCGAATGCCACGTCGTATACCATCTGTTGGAAGGATTGTCACTATAAAAACATATTAAGTATTAATCAAAGATTAGTAGAAGTATCACTGTCGTTCGTACATAATTGACTTTCAATAAAAAAAATTTATTTAATAGAAAATAAAAGCATGTTAGTACAAATTAACTTGACACTCTTTAACAAGTTTCAAAGAAAAACAAATATTGTAAATAAGTAATACTGACATTATGCAACATTTTAAGATATTTGCAAAAGTTTTGAGCCACTTGGATTTATTGTACCGCAATTCGAGCTACGCTTTATTTTTCAACGGGAAAAAATATTTTCTTCCCATTGGACGACATTACTTTCCAAAACCTGTTATTTATACTGGAAGTCTATTCTTGAAATAAAATTGAAAGAACAAGTAAAAGCACTAAATCAGGAAATCTTTTTTTTTAAAAAAATTGCCCACCTTTTAAGACATTACTGTTTGAGTATCGTATATATTTATTGTTTGCAAACTTAATACCTGAATTTATAATTATTTATTATACAAAAATGATTTAAAATTATACAATTAATTCAACTATCACTATACAATTAAAACTGTACGTAAGAGAACCTAGGCTGCCCAATTAAGCTTTAATCAAAATATTTAATAGAGTGGTCCACAAATAAAAACTAAAGCTTTTCAGAATTTTCGGTAGTTTTGCCAAAACGTTGAAAGCCTTACTACTACAAAGCTGTAACAAAACCAAAGGTGCCAACTGCTCCGGATTCGACAGTATATTTTAAAAAACAATAGTGAACTAAAATCTAAAATTTGCAGATTTTCGATTAATTTAGTTAACTTTTTAAAAGGCTTAGCAAAGCTTAACTGTAACGAAAGTCTCAGAAAAGCCTTTGAATAATTTAGATTTAGTCGCGAGTAAAAACCGTATAAATCGAACTTACTGAACCAAGAATGATTCATTAACAGGCCTGCCAATTTACTACTCTTTTTACCAAAAATTTATACTAGTGGTAGCTAAGTTTACGTCTTAATGCATTATTTTATATATATTTAAATTTATTTTTTTACACCACTACACATAAATGATTTAAAAGTTCATATGCAACGCCACTTTGTACCAACTCTCTCTTATAGCTACACCAATGTTGGTAAATCCAAAATGTTTTTACCTCAGTGTATTTATTTTCATGATGTATAGGATAGGAGCCGCTGCGCGGTCCAGGTGCCCAGTTTTTCTAAATAAAGCAGGCAACCAGCTCTCTCTCTTTTACCTAGGAGTGCGTGAAGCCTCTCTCCCTTCCGGGCAAATGCATCAATTGTCAAGGCGATCACCCGGCCTGTCTTACGGGCTGTGGTGTTCAGCCGAGGTGAAATCATCTCACCTTCACGCGTAGACCACCGAAGGAGACCTAAGGATCGTCAAAGAACTACGGGAACTTTTGAGAGACGAAAAAGTCATCTCATTACTCGTCTCCCTGCTCCCAGCCCAAAAGACGTAGATGAAGAGCCTCACCATCAAGCCTGCTACATCTTACATGATACCTTTTATTATTTTATCGTATTTCAGTTTCTTTTCCGAACCACCAATACAACTTTCCTATGTATGTCCCTTTGGGATATTCCATGACGAATGGGATAGGAGCCATTTCGGCCTCAGATGCCCAGTTTTTACAACAACGAACGAACCAGCTCTCTCTCTCTCTGGTGCATCCCTGGCCGAGCGGTATCGCCCTCCAAACGCTGTGCAAAGCGTGAAGGTAGCGGGTTCGATTCCCGCTGTTACCCTGGATGTATCTTCGTGCTGTAATTCTCTGTATTGTGCTATCTGTCTTTCTATTTGACAAAGGTTTATAAGCCTAAATTAAGCACACAAGCCTGCGAATGCATGTAAATCCAATAAACCAATAAATCCAGCTCTCTTTCTCTCTCTCTATGCCATTAGTCTCAGTTGCTATTGAGCCCAATACAGATGAAGGAATGGTTTCTAAAAATACTATCACTCTGCAAAGTGACGTTTCATATTTTTCGAATCATTTATATGTAGCGGTGTCGAAAATAAATTTATATCGAATTCACAAAGTAAAGGATCTTACATTAAAATATTAACTTAGCTACACCTGGAAGAACTTTCAAAACGTTTAGAGAGTAGACAGCCCTGCGTACGTATTATAGGTGGTAAACAACTGCTCCGCTTTCTGTGTGAGTTCTAATAAACTTGTAGGAGAAGGATATTCTTAATCGCAACTAAGTGACTCTAATAGAAAATTGTAAAAAAGTTGCATTTAATATAATATTTTCAATTTTTGATATGTAGTGGTCTCTTATTTTATCGAATGCAAATTACTTCCAAATATAATAGGAACACTGATCCTAGTAAAATCGCGATTTATAAGCATGTCTGGTTACGTCTATCGAAATTCTGGTGATAGACAGGTATTGTCAAGTTCCTGACACGGACGGAAAAACAACGGATGTCGGGATATGCCTTTTTTTCATCGTTGCTTTTTACGGAATTAGAATGCGGAAGGGCGGAAAGCAATGTCATATCCAGATGATAGTTGGGTCAAGGTTTATTAACCATTTTCATCCGTAATTTATAATCCCTTTCTGAAAACATAAAAAAACCAAAATTTTCATTGGGAAGTTAGAAAATAGAAGCAGCAAAATTCAATTTATGACGTTTAATTTGGAAATAGATAGAAAAGCAGTACTACTTGAGATGTCTTTTTTTTTACAAAATAAGATAAGTAACAGAGCACAAAAGACAAAGATTTCCTATATAGCATAAAATAATGAGTGGTGGTATCCCTTCTTCCTCCTTTAACTAACATTAAAATTTTAAAAAGTAAATATAACTACGTATCTAGTCTAAAGAGAAAAACAAAGTGAATAAAGAGCAAACAAAGAGATATGGACATACTATAGTTTCAGTTCTCTAAACAAGACCCTTTCTCTGCCTTAAAACAGAAAATGACATTAGAAAAATAAAGAAACAAACATATGCAAAAGCACTTTAGCCAATCTTGACAAAGGAACAAATTTGAACAAGATAATTAAAAGAAGAGTGATACGAAACAGATATGAAGGGTTTGGCGGGAACCTCGGGTGTAAATGATTAAATTATAATAGATCCCCAAACCTTGGGAAAGGGTGGGATACTAGAACGATTATTAACTAAGTTAATTGAATTTTTTAAAACATGAAATGATTCCCAGAAACCAAGATCGGTATAATGAAGAGCAGTGTTGCTGATTTTGGCAGAAGAAAGCGCACTACTCTTCAACAACCGAACTCGATTTCTGGGAATCACTCCATATTTTGAAAATTTCTGATAGTTTATTTAATGATCTTCCTAGTATCTTACCCTTACTCAAGATTTGGAGATCTATTTTAATTTAGTGATTTGCCCTTTGAGGTTCCGCCGACCCCCTTCATACCTGTTTCTTTTCACTACCCTCCATCTTATTCAAACTTGTCCCTTACTCCTGATTGGTTAAACCACTCTGCACGTGTTTACCTCTTTACTTTTCGATTGTCATTTTCTTTAGGAACTGAGGAATGTTCTTCTTTAGCTTACTGAAACTTTAGTATGTCTTTTTCTGTTCTTTGTTCGCGCTTTATTCACGTTATTTTTCACTTTAGTCTACGTAGCTAAAAGTATACCCTATCCTTTTGAATATATCTTATTTTATCACTCTTTATATAACCAAGAATCTGACTAATCTCTGCATTTCAAACAATCAATATTGATTACACTGAAATCATAAACACGTAAAATATTCTAAATATTAAAAGAAATCCGAATTAATTGAGTAAGTCGATGATGTATTCGCTCTCATTTTATACAATACGATATATATGGGTCATTCTCACAAAAACAGTCATTTTCATGTCCCCAGTATATTTTATGTTTGTTTTACAGCTTACGAAGAAAAAAAATTCAGGGAAAGTGTCCTTCAGAATGCAAGCTAACAAAAGAATAAAAATAAAATTATCAATTTTTATTTTTTATTTATTTTAGGTAATTAAAATATACCAATATGTCATTCCCTCACTTGTCCCCACTGCTGATTTAAAAAAAGAAAAAAATTGTTTCTGAAATAAGAATTTTTTTTTTACAAATTCGTGTTTTTTATTTCAGAATACTGAAATATAGAATTCAGAAAATCAATTTTAAATTTAATTTCTGATAAAAATATTAACACAGCACTATTTTAAACTTTGTCCCCAGTGTTTCGCGTCATTCCCTCACAACAATGTTCTTATCACCTGCAATCTTCTTAGAATAAAAATATTTTAATAAAAACTTCAGAAGTTAACAACTGGCATCATAGAACAAAATTGCAGTATGTTTCCATCTTCAACTTAAAGAAGCTTTGCTGTGGAATAAATTTGAATGAATCAAACCAGGTAAAATTTTTTACATTTGTCATTCCCTCATGTCATTTTTTAGAGTAAAATAAAATACAACTTCATCGAGAAAGTGGATAATTATATGTTGCTTTCTTGTATGAATATAATTGTATGTGATTGACTTCAGAAATTAATTAGGCCTAACTGTTATTTTTAAATTTTATTGAATTCGTCATTCCCTCACTAGTGTATAAAGTGAGGGAATGACGCTGAAGTGAGGGAATGATTCAAGATGAGTATATTATCAAATTTTTTTTTGTTCAATCGTGCCAGCCAATTTTATTTCCCAAACCTGTAAAAACTATTAAATATATAAGACTAAATTATAATAAATATTAGATATACTTAGTATGTTATCATTTTCAAACTTTAGGTAGATGTAACTTAGATAAAAACATGTATTAAAATAAAATATCATTCCCTCACTATTAGTGTCATTCCCTCACTTTTTAAATAGTGAAAATAATTAATTTACTTATTAATTAATTTGAAAAATAAATTAAAAAATTAATAAATTAATTTATTAAATTAATTAATTTATTTATTAAATTAATTAATTAATTATTAATTATTATAAATTAATTAATTATAAATTAATTATTTAAAAAATTAATTAATTTAAATATTAAGTATAATTTATAGGATATATACTTTCTTTATAATGCCATTACATATTTCTATTAATATAAAAAGTTTCAGAGCTTTTTATTCACTTTACTTTTTTGGGATTTTATGAACTGAAAAATGACAGTTTTCGTGAGAATGACCCATATATATATATATATATATATATATATATATCCTAATTAGTAGATGGTTTTGAGTATATTACCTGTGTAACCAGAATTTCTTATTGTTGATTGCGTCACCGGTCTGTCGTAATTGTAAAGCTGTAGTTTCGGAAGGTACAAATCTTTTTTAACTTTACTAGTTAGTATATTAATTGGAGACTGATTGCGGCCTCTGCATTGGGGATAACGTAAACCCCATCGTCGTACACCTAAAATAAAAATGGTAAAAAAATAAATTTAAAAATATTACTAGCGTTTACAAAAATTACACAGTATATAAGAATAAAAACTTTTTTATGATATTTAAAGACAAAAACTAAAGTAAAAATCACAAATTTATTAATTGTTAAAGTAGCATTCAAATTCTGATGCTCGAGTATATTTTGTTTTTATCTTGTAACAGTCGTTAAACAGCCAACCCAATTTTGGGTTTACGACTACTAATGTTCAGCTCCATAGCCTTGCAATTTTGAACGCAATTCAGAAGACAAGGGAACTCCTAGTTGAAGTATTGGGAGAAATTTGCCTTCGTGGAGGACTTAGTGATGAAACTCACCCGAAATTACGCTACATGGCGAGGAAAACCACGAAAACCGCCCACTTTTATCTTGACAGCAAGAGGACTCTAACCCATGATCCGTCTACTACTGAGGATATTTTTCGTCAATACTGTGGTCGGTGCAAGACGGATGCGGAATTCGTATTGACCAGCTATCGCTAGGATTCAAACCCGGTTCACCTCGTAGGAAGGCGAACTCTTTATCCCCTGAGCCATCAAATTTAGAGTAATTGTGCACAATATTTACAATTTTATGTTATTGATTTTAATGACAATAACGTCATGACCAACTAAATCCAACTTTTTTACGTCTTTAATTTTACAAGAAAATCTTGCAACACATTTTAAGAAAAACTTTTACATGAGCATAAATACTTGGAAAATTAACTAAGACTGTATAAACTCGATTCTTATAAGATGCACAAAATATTTCATTTCTTCGGAGTAAGCTGTTTACTTGTTCGTTCGCTTCCATTGAAAAAAAAAAATTTTTTATTTTGTAAAAATATAGAATATTTTATATAATTTGAATATGCTACATAAAAATTTGAAAAAAAAAATGGTAATTGAAATTCTAAACGCTCTGAAATTTTTTAATACATTAAAATGCATCCGGATCACCTTATCTGGGCGATGAAATATTATATTAAAATTTTAAACACTCATTAGTACACAAACGTACATTAGAATGGCATTATTACAGTCATTAAATAATAACATTGAAATTCGAAACACTCTGAAATTCCTTCATAAAAATACATTCGAATAGTGTTACCTCATCGATTAAATATGACAGTGAAATAGAAACACTCTGAAATTCTCTAGCACATAAAAATATATTTGGATGGCGTTATCACAGACATTAAATGTGACTTTGAAATTCGAAACACTCTGAAATCCTTTAACACGTTCACACCGGGGTGCCCCACTGGTGGGTCACAGAGTTGGCCAAAAATGTAATCGATTACATTCTTTGATTACAGTAATCAATTACTTGTAATCATGATTACAATTTTCAAAAATTTTGATTACAGCTGTAATCATGATTACAATATTGATTACAGTAATCAATTACTTGTAATCGTGATTACAAAGTTTGATTACAGCTGTAATCATGATTACATAGTCGATTACAGTAATCAATTACTTGTAATCATGATTACAATTTTCAAAAAATTTTGATTACAGCTGTAATCATGATTACAATTTTGATTACAGTAATCAATTACTTGTAATCATGATTCCAAGTAATTGCGATTACAAGTAATCACAACAAAAACGATTACAAGTAATTATGATTACAAGTAATCAAAATATATGATTACATGTAATTTGATTACATGTAATTTGATTACATGTAATTATGATTACATGTAATCTAATTACACGATTACAAGACTATTGTATTCTTATAAATGATTATATTTTACAGTAGATAGTAGAATGTATTTTATAATGATACATTTTGCACGTATTAACATGTACTGCATTTTGTACGTATTTGTATACGTACAAATGAATGTAACTGAAATGTATGTACATATGATTTTATCTAGTGCATATGTTCAGACATTTTAGTATCACACACATGTACATACACTTATATTGTAGGTATAAAATATATGTACGTATGTATATAGATAATAATTACGTATGTATGTGCAAACAATGTAGGCATGTACATTTATACACAATGAATATATGCATTTTATGCAAATATTTGTGTATGTAAAATGTATATCTATGTTCATGTACGCATGTATATACAAGTACTTGTGTTTGTACGAACATACATACATTGTCTGTACAATGTATGTCCCATGCATGTATGTGCAATTTATTTATGAACAGTACAATATATGTATGCATGTACAATATAGGTATATCTGTAGGATGTACAATATATGTATGTATACATGTACATGATATGCATGTCCAGTGTATTTATGTACATGTACATAATATGTTCATGCTCAATGTAAGTATCCAAATATGCATAATACATTTGTGAACTATTGTACGTACATTGGGCGTATTTATATTTCACATATATTCATACATGCATTCGACATGCATAACGTACGTACATACACACATTTGAGATGCATATATTGTACAGATGTATATACATATAGCGTACAGATGTATATACATATAGCGTACAGATGTATATTCATATAATGTACATATGATGAAATGAACATATAATGTTCATATAATGTACATATGTGTGTACATATACAGTACGTATGTGCATAAATATATTGGGCATAATTCTTTCGTACAAATTTTACATGTGTACATGCATGCTATCCCTATCTATGCATATGGTGCAATGTATATATGTACAATGAATGTATCCACACATGTACAATACACGTATGTTCCATGTATGCATATCCATATGTACTATATATGCACGTACAATACATGAATGTATGTACATACATTGTACATGCGTACATACATTACACGTATACATATGTACATTACATTTATGTCTAAATATGTGTACAATGCAATAAATAAAATGCATGTAAGTTAACTTTTAATGACTCAAGCAAGTTAAATGACAAAATCAAACGATATTTAAATTTAGTTTTCAGCTTTAATTGTTCTATATCATTTTGAAATTCTCTGAATAAAAAATTATTTTCAGGTATTTTCATGAAATGTTTGACAATACAGATTTATTTTTTTTATAACATAATGCATGATTCATAGAAATTTTTTAAATGGTAAGAAAAACGGTAAATTTTATGTGTGGAATTAATATTTAGAAATTCCAAATAAAATTATCGTTTGCTTTCTAAAAAATATGAGGTCGAGTTTCATATACCTTAGAATAATTTTAAAACAAATTTTAATAACTTTACTCATATAAATTTTTTTAATGTATGCACAATGTATGTGTATATTGTAATTACATATATTTAAATGTACGCACGTATTTGTACATTACTTGTAATTATGTACATGTATACGTTGTATGCACATGCATACATTGTGCATATAACTATTTTTTTGTACATCCATGCATTACATGCGCATAAGTATTAACAAAGTATGTAGTTATACAAGTACATACGTAAGTTGTACATAAGTACATACTTTGCGTGCACATATATCGATGTACATATAAATATGCATGTATACATGTACGCATTTTATTTACGCAACTATGTGCATATATTGTACCTTTAAATAACATTTTTACATATTGTACGCAAATACGTACAATTTTATATACAAACGTACATTGTATATACGTGCTATTATCGTAAATTTATACAATATATGCACTTAAGTACATAAAAGCATGCAAACGCATAAACATTATTTTCATATACGTTCATACATACATTGTCTATGTATACAAAGATACAAAACATTGCCTTTTTGTACAAACTAACATACATGCGTACATGTATCATAAATGCATAATTATATGTACTAAGCATATGCGCATTGCATTAAGTATATTACAATATAATTATGAATATTGTACGTACAAACAACGTTTGTGCATACATTGTATGTATAGGAATCGCAAACTGTACGTTCATGCGTGCGTACATTCTATGTACATACAAATATGTAAACACATGAATACTTACATAAAAAATTTGACTATAGTATACAATCGTAAAAACTTGTAATCGTATAGTTTGATTACAAGTAATCAAAATTGCAAGTAATCAAATTACATGTAATCATGATTACATGTAATCATATATTTTGATTACTTGTAATCATAATTACTCGTACATCAAAGCATTGTGATTACTTGTAATCGCAATTACTTGTAATCATGATTACAAGTAATTGATTACTGTAATCAAAATTGTAATCATGATTACAGCTGTAATCAAAATTTTTTGAAAGTTGTAATCACGATTACAAGTAATTGATTACTTGTAATCGTGATTACAAGTAATTGATTACATAGCTGTAATTATCTGTAATCAATTACAGTTGTAATCGATTACTGTAATCAACGGCCAACTCTGGGTCACACTAGATTGTCTCATCTTGGCAGCGCACTGGAGTAAAAACTGGTAACAATAAAATTAATTTTTTCGTTTTTTTCCGGGAATAATAAAAATCCATAACTACCAATTGTTTTTAACGGATGCAATTTTTATATTGAATTGCTTCTTCGCCGTATTAAATTTCCTTACAGTGAATTGTTATTGTTGAGAATAGACTAACTCCTCCCGAATAATATCTAATACTGAAATAGTTCTTCTACCAGTATTTTCACTTTTCCCGGCGTGAACGTGTTAATACATAAAACTACATCCAGATAACGTTATCTCATGGAATAAATATGATATTGAACTCTAGTTAAAGCAATCTTTCATACTGCGCGGAAAGCATATAATTTTTCTTTCATTGGTTTTGAATCGTATTTGAACACTTCTGAAAAAGTCGAATTGGAAAATCTATAAAATTTAATAATTTCTATTTAAATTTTTCTGAATAGTTTTTGTTAATTAGGAAAGAAAGCTTTGAATGGTGATGGTTTTTCCGCAAATTTACTTTTGTACCATTAAAGTGGATTTATTAAAAATGGCAGCAGCATTATATAGGACCACACCCTATTAAATTGTGTTTTATTTCCTATTACCGTTACATAGTGCTGTCCCGACCTTCATTTTAGGGTATTTTCATTTGTTTATTATTGTATTTCGTTTCACAATGTTAAATGGTATTTGTGGAAAATCCCTTGTCATTCTGATCTTTAAATTAAAAAAAAAAAGTACAAAAGTTGCAATTATTTTTTTTACAATTTCAAGGTATTCAAATCAGACTTTGTTAACATGTTACTGAATAGGATTCAAAACAAAATTATAAAAAAAAAAATTCTATGTTTTCCGTGCAAGCGCTGTATAAAAGGATTATTTTACGTCCTCAGTCAGGCGCAGTTTTTAACGATTTTTTTTTCGAATTTTAATAGCATATTTTTATTATTAATTAAAAACTATTATGAAGTTAGTTTAATTTTATTGGATCTTTCTGTGGTTATATTAAGAGAACGTAAAGAAAAAATAATTAGTTTTTTTTTTTTTTTAATTTCCATATTTCCATGAATATTTATGTAAGATATACAAAACTTTTTTGTGTAAATATTTTATATAATAGCCAAAGTAATTGACATAAGTTACAAGCTTTTCGCTATTTTTATACTATATACGTGTATATATATATATATATATATATATATAT